TCTTCTTCTTCTTCTTCTTCTTCTTCTTCTTCTTCTTCTTCTTCTTCCTCCTCTTCTTCTTCTTCTTCTTCGTCGTCCTCCTCCTCGTCCTCTCCTTCCTGGCCTCCTAGACCGTAGTTTGGGTAGACCGGCCCGGCAGCAGGTACCACTTCCTGGCCGGCATAACCCGTCAGCCCAACCTGTTGCGAGTGCAGCCGGGATTCCAGTTCTATAGGCCTCGTCTGATAGTCGCCATGACAACGGATGCTACTGTCTCCGATTTGTCTGGCGCCCTCTTGCCAGGCTGCCTGGGATGCCTCGAGGCTGGTCTGGTCGGTGGGACCAAGCACGGGAAGATAGGTTTGCAGGTGTTGCTGTTCTATTTGTTGTTGTTGCTGCTGCTGTTGATGATGATGATGATGATGATGATGATGATAGTAGTAGTAGGGGGTGTGTTGGGGGAAAAGGTGGGGCGAGGTGGGGAAGAAGACAGCGTCTGTGTGGGCGTTGGGTGGCTGTGGGGGCGGATATGTCGACGGGTTCGACCTGTCGACGAGTGGGGCAAAAAGATTGGTGAACTCGGCGCTTTTGTCGACTCCTCTCGTCCTAGCAACGGCATTGAGGGGATCTATCATTTCCGGTTGCTCCGGCCGGTAGGTCTTGTTGCCGGGCGTGGAGACACGGTGGATCGGGCCGTCGGGCGCGCGTGCTCGAGTCTGCCGCGAGGCTCGAACGGCTCGTGGCTGCTCGGGCTTGGCGAGACCGACGAGCCGGGACTCGGACTCAGACACCGACTCGGACTCGACTCGGTTGGCCGGGCCGAGGGACGAATGGCTTCTGCCCGCTCGGACGACGACGCTGTTGCCGTGGCCCACGCGTCGAGACGACTTTCGTCCCAGTTCCATCCCACTCTGTACATTGCCCAGAACGAATTCATTTTCTTCTTCTTCTTCATCGTCATCATCATCATCATCAACATCATCATCATCATCATCTTCTTCTTCTTCTTCTTCTTCTTCTCCTTCATCCTCGTCGTCGTCGTCGTCGTCATCGTCACCCGCCCGCCCAACCAGCCGATACGGTTGTACCACGGCTTTTCGGCTCAAGCACTCGCCACCCTCGAGGGTCGAGACGACGTCCATCTGCGTCGGCTGTACCAGTTTGCCAATCGACGTGGAATTCAAGAGGATACCGGCCTCGTTTGTCAGCTCGTGCGACAACATGCGAGTCGAGGCGAACAGTCCACTCCTATTCTGCCCCGGCGGCAACATCTCGGTCAGCCTGTGTTGGGCTTGGCCGGTCAAAAACGGTTGCCATGGTGACCGTTGAGCGTGAGCTGCCACGAGCGCTGCTTCTTCGTCTTCTTCTTCTTCTTCTTCTTCTTCATCCTCCTCTTCGTCGTCCTCTTCATCTTCGTTTTCATCTTCGTCCTCCTCTTCCTCGTCCTCTTCGTACTCGTCGTCCGCCTGCTCGTCCTCCCTCTGGACGACGTAGCAGACGTCGCTGGACGTCGTGAGATGATTGGTCGGCAGAGGCAGGGCAACGCTCATGTTGACCGGGCTCGTGGGTCTGTGGAAAGCGGAGGGCGGCTCTGGAAGACGCATTCGAGGTGGATGAGATGGATGAAGTGGATGAGGTGGATGAGGTGGATGAGGTGGATGAGGTGGATGAGGCGGATGCGGCGGAAGCGAGAAGAGACCAAGTTGAGGTGAGTACGAGACGGAGAGAGCTGGATCAGGGCAGTCGTGAGCCGGTGGATGGGATTTTGTCAGCCGCGCCGGTGGTGCCGATCGCGCCACGATCGGTTGGTAGGCGTGAAGTGTGTGCTGCTCTGATCCGATCAGGCCGGTGGGCAGACCGAGTGGACCGAGAAAACCGTCGAAAGAAGCAATATTGCAATAACAACCTTGAGAAAGACCCACCGAAGTGGGCGCCACGAGGGAGGCGAGTGTGGATGACGTGCTCGACGTGGTTGTGGTGTTGTTGTTGACAATATTGTTGGTGGTGGTGGTGGTGGTTGTTGTTGCTGTGGTG